GGGGTTAGCCGCTCCGGCTCGGCCTTGGTCTCCACGTCTTTGGTGCCGGCCAGCCGGCAGGCGCACTGCACACAAGTGCGCACCCGACGGCTGATGAAGGAGCTGCAGGACATCGCCCGCCTGAGCGACCGCTTCATCTCGGTGGAGCTCGTGGACGAGAGCCTCTTCGACTGGAACGTCAAGCTGCACCAGGTGGACAAGGACTCGGTGCTGTGGCAGGACATGAAGGAGACCAACACCGAATACATCCTTCTCAACCTCACCTTCCCAGACAACTTCCCCTTCGCACCGCCCTTCATGCGGGTGCTCAGCCCACGCTTGGAGAACGGCTATGTTCTCGACGGCGGAGCCATCTGCATGGAGCTGCTCACTCCCCGAGGGTGGTCCAGCGCCTACACCGTTGAGGCTGTCATGCGCCAGTTTGCTGCCAGCCTTGTGAAAGGCCAGGTAAGGAAGTGTCTCCTCGCTGTTGAGGAATGTTGTGGGTGCTTGGGGGTCTCCTAGCAAGGAGAGAGGAGAGATGGCCTCGGTGGAACAAGAGTCTGGTTGGATGAAACACGGGGCCTTTCTCAGCTGGCCCCTGACAGTGGTGTAAATACATCCCAGCAACATTTTCTGTCACATTTTCTGCCCCAGACGGCCTGTATTGTGGATGGCTTGGTCTTGATGTGTCTTAGCCAAGTGCCTGAGTTGGATTATCTAAGATGCTGCAGCGTATCTCTTGTACTATTTCCAGGTGTGGCTTAGCTTGCTTCACTGCAGTATTGTAAAGGACTCTCATCACCTCATTAGTAGATATATCAATATTGCTAGACCACAGAGAAGTCTGCCTGAGATCATATATAAGAGATTTAATTGGGGCTGAGTTCATATAAAGCACTAAGACATCATATAATTGGTTTGGGTTTGGCTTAGCGTTTTGTGTACCCAACCCGTCACTTTTTATACCAGAATTTATGAAGTAGTATGTAGCATATACCCAACAAGTGTGATTTAGTCCATAAACTATGCTTGAGGTAGGCCAGGTCAGGAAACAGACTCCATGAGGAAGACAGAAATGCTACTTTATTGTTGTAGGGTATCATAACAGATTCTTGAAAGCCTGCTGAAGTTTTTGCCTCCTCTTATACTAAACAGAATCAAGGTGGGGTTGTTTGAGTTTCTTTCTCATGCTGTCCCCTTCCCCAGGGCTAAATTGTCATTTAGCTTCCCTTAATGGCTCCTATATATCTTCATCAAGGTTATCTTCAGACACCTCTCCTGTTCTAGCTTACATCATAGTGGCTGGCCTTTGGGATTCTGGAAGTGGAAGAGGTGTCTGTTGTGGTCCACAACTCTTTCTGAAAGGGAAGGTAGATGTCTGCTTTAGTGAATTTCTTTTATACAGTGCTCCAAGCATTTTTCTTCTGGTTTAATGAAAGGCAATTCTATACAAAAAGAACAAAAATTATTGCAATTATAATTAATCTGACATGAGTGAATAGAGAGTAGTTATACACTCACCTCCTTTTACTTTCACTCACTGTCTCTCAAAGCACAAGAATTTATCCAATAAAGTCTTGATTGACAGAATATAGACTGTAGAAAAATAACTTACACAATTCTTTGCCACAAAGTAATATTATGACAACTACCTGTGATGGCTAAAAAAAAGGGAGAGGGGAACCATTATTGATTTGTACAGATGTGGGCATAAGAGCAGGTTCTTCAAATGAGGTGAACTAATAAGGTGATTAGCTTCATGATATATGCATTTAACTGGCTCCTTTTGGAAGCACAGAGCCAGACTAGGTAGAGCTTTGGTCTAAATCAGGAGCCAGCAAACTTCTTCTCTTCGGCCCCTCTTCCTCCTCTGTGGGCATGGCTGGCAGGCCTGCAGGCCAAGGGGCACAGCGGCCATTGGACAGTGCTGGCCTACTTAGCAAGGAAGCCACTGGTAGCCACTGCTCAGGATGCCCAGCCCTCACCTGTTACCCTGGGATCTTGGTTGAGGCTCAGACCTGGAGAACTCAAGGACTATATAAAAACAGACACTACTTAACTGTAACCTGTCAAGTCCTATCCGGAGAATAGCATCAAGATCTTAATGTGTTTTATGTCCGTTACTCTCTAGAAATGTATCTGTGATTACAGAGCAAAGCAAATTTCTGCTACTTTAAATTCAGTTTGGCACTTCCTTTAATACTAACTGTTGCAGCCCCTATTTTCAAGGGATTGTTTTAAATGTTGGTATATACACTTCTGCAGCTTGAAGATTTTTCCTAGCATTTCTCTGCTTTTCAAATGGCAGTCTGAAGGATTGGACAGTAATTAATAGAACACAGATAAGTTTTTCAGCCTAAATCCCATTGAAATGGGGGAAATGTTAATGCCCTGGTTCACTGTTTTGAATTTTTTTCTGTTAGGTTGTGCCCTTTGTTTTTTAGACGTTTATTTATTAGATTGATATCCCTTCTTCCATTCAGGAGCTCAAAGTGTTTGAGTCAGTAGCACTTCTTCCTATTTCCCTCAGAACAACCATCCTGTAGGGTGGGCTGAGAGTGACTGACCCAGGCTCCCCCAGTGAGTTCCTGTGGCTGAGGGTGGATTACAACTCAACTCTCCCCTGTGCCAGTCCACTATCTCAAGCATTTAGCAGAAGGCTTGGAAATATTACTGCTTAGTTTCAACCTCTAAAAACTTTCATCTGTTTACAAAATGGATAGAAACAGATGACTAATTAAAAGATTCTAATATTTTAAATTAGCTGTTTGTATTTTATTATATCTACTGTAAACTGACCAGAGTCTGAGAGGATTGAGGCAGTGTATAAATTTCATAAATAAAAAAATTAAATCTTTATATATGAGCAATTTTCTTGTTAAAAAATTAAAGCTGCATTAATGCACATTAAGCCTATTAATGTCTTAAGACTAAATCAGTAACCCTTTATTAACCTATTAAATGAAAGGACAGAATCTTAAAATTGCATTGGAATGCAACTCTGGCTGCTGTGGGTTCAGTCCTGTATTATATACTATAACACCATGCAAGGGGCATTCATCCTCTTTGCCTTCACTCAAGTACCCCGCTACACAGATTATCTGGAAAGTCCCCAGACTCTCTGAAACATCGTTGGAGGCTTCAGTGAGAAGGCTGATTTAATTGGTCAGCAATGTCTGTTCTGATGGCAGACAGACACCATAGGAATCATTGCTAATACTAGTGGCCCCATATATAATATAAACATTTTATCTATTTAACTCATGAGTACCTGCAGACTCGTAGCAAAGTTGGCCTACTGCCAGTGCTACCCTTACTACTGCACTGGAATGAAGGTTTGGGTGTTAACTGGTAAGACCAGGCTACCCAAGCAGATATTTTCTCCCATTTAGCTGCTGCTGGTCACTCTTTTCCTCATTTACAGATATTCATTAGCATCAATCAGGTAAGCAGTTTTTTCTGTCATGGTGCCTATTCTCCAAATACTTTTCCCACTTACCCCTCACCTCTCTGCACAAAAAAATGAAGCATGCTGTGATTTGCTGAAAACATTGGACATCTCAAGATAATACTAATGTATTGTTCATGGGCATTGCTTATATTTAATATTTTATATTATATTTGTTGCATGTTCATATTGTACGCTGCATCAGGCTGTTTTACATGACAAGTAGTAGATAAATACTTGGATAAAAAATGATAGGTTGCCTGAAACCCTCTCTATAGGATCCAGAGTGGTTATCTGAATTAGGATGCATAGTAATTTTTTTTTCCTTTTTAACTACCTTGAATGACCTTTTCATTTTGGTTAGTTTCCAAATTATTTTATTTTATTTTATTTATTTTTCAAATTTGTCACCACCCATCTCGTTGGAAGGACTCTGGCAGTTTACAGCAAAAATAAAATTCATTCAAATACAATATAAAACAGACCTAATAATAAATAGCTTCCAAGCAAGATGGAAAGTTGGGGAATAATTCAAGGGAGTGTCGTCAGGGTGCTAACCACCCCCAAGGACGGTTAGAGTCCATATTGCCCCGTGCACACAGGCAGAGCCAGGTCTTTATAAATATTTACTCTTGTTTAACCTCATGGAGAATTCAGATGGTTGTTTTAAATCTTCATAGTATTTAATATTTTAAGCATAAGTTCTGTGTTCCTGTGGTCTCTAACCAGTTGGCTAGGAACACTACAACTGGTGAATTGGGAGTACTGTAGATCTCTGGCACTGATTCCAAAATATATATAGACAAAAATCTTACCAGATCACTGAGCTCATACAATAGCTCTCAAAGCCTTTGTAATAGTGTTGTAGTGGTCCACATGAAGGAAGATGTTGGGAATCACCAATATGGAATAATTATATCCCGCTGTATCCTATTACAGGGAATCCTCAGATTATAATAGCAACTGGGACTGGAATTTCCATCACTAAGCAATTTAGCCGTAAAGGATGACATCACATGATCACATCACTTAGCAATAGCAATTCTAGCAGACCTGGTTGCCGTTGTTAGTGAGAACTGTACAGGTCATTAAGTGATGACCTCATGCGATCACGACTTCCACCTTCCTGCCAGCTTCCCCACTGACTTTGCTTGTGGGAAGCTGGCAGGCAACATTGGAAATAGTGATTACGTGACTGTGGGGATGCTGCGACAGCTAGAACTCTGAGCACTGGTCATAAGTACCATTCTTTCAGTCCCATTGTAACTTTGAATGGTCGCTGAATGAATGGTTGTAACCCAAGGACTACCTGTATATCTCCAAGCTGACCTACAATCAAGTTGGCCTGCATTACAAACAAATTCAGGCTTGCTCATGCCAGTTCCTTTTGTGGCAAAGAGGAAGGCAGCAAATTCCCTGTGGTTGCTGAGAAATATAAGGACCAGGTCAGTCTCCCACTTGCAGTAATGTTCCTCCATAGAGGGGCAATGTCCAGCAGTCATTGGTTGCCTTCAGCTCTCTAATAGGCAGGTAATATTAAGTAGGATAGTTATTTATAATTAAATCCACCTGGAATTATTCTGTTAAGGTCAAATATTTTATAAAATAACCTAAAATGTTAAAATAATTACCCTAACAGGGGAGTATACTGCATGATAAACTACTAGTTAACATCCTGAATACATTATTAATACACCAATAAAGAACATTCCATTAAATATGCACCATTTTCTAAAACAAGTAAAAGTATCATTTAAATCACCAAGAGACTGATCTGTTTGTTGGTTTAAATCAAGTTTCTATTATAACTTGTCCTAAACAATTATCTACATTGCATAAATTTAAATTATCCACCTTCCTTACTTAAAGTATCAATACATTTATCTAGTTATTGTCTGCCAAAACACAATCCAATTATTTTATTCCATTAGTCAGAAAATACATTTTTTGCCTGGTGAGCAATATACAATATGGGTTTCTCGGATTTCAGAGTGTTTGATGCTTCTTTTTATTAAGG